CTTTAAAAAAACATTTCTATTGTTTTATCAATAATTATGGTAATAATACACTCCCTATTACTACATTTATGCTATTGATTTAGTGATATATGACATATTATGATTTAAAGTGTATTAGTTTTCTCTAATAGGAGGAAGTAGGCAAACTCCCAATATCTATGATAGTCCTGGTATATTTTATTGAATCAATGAAATATCAGGAATTTTATTTATCTAAAGAAGATCACAAATCATTCACAATCTCTTTTTATTTTGTCAAACTGAACATAATATTTCAAATGTACTTTGATTTTTTTTAATTTTTAAAAGTTTTATATGGAAACATAATTCATTGTACATATCTGTGGGGTACCACATTGAATATCACCACCTGTGTGCAATATGTGATGCTCAAATCAGGATAATTAGTATATTCAACAGAACACGATTTAATCATTTTTTATGGCTCTTTACCAATAGAATGTACTATTAGGAAAGTTTCTGATAAATTCTTCTATACCCTCTAATAATTTAATAGAAGAGATTACCTTGGAGAAATCTTGCTATGTTGACAAATTTAAATAACTAAAGTTAAATTAATTTTTTTCATTACATGAAAGGGCACACACATAAAAGCATAGTTATGGAAGCTTGGAGATTTAATATGGGTCCAGGAATTGATGAAATATTGCATGGATTTGGGATCATTTAAATACAACTTGGTGTGATAGACACAGGCAGGAAGTATTGCCCTAGGAATTACAGCAGTAGTACTGACACAAAAAAGTAGAGAAGTCCAAGTGATGTTTGGGTAATGGTAAAAACTTCTCTTGGCTAAAAAAGTCACTAGGTGACTTAGACAGTAAAATGTAAGGGTGGAAACATGAGAACATACTACTTAGTTCCTTGAATTAAAAATTTACTTTAAATGTGTCACTAACGAGCTGGATGTTTTAAGAAATTTATTGCATCAATTTGGGCTTTTCTTCCTTCACCTATCATATCAGAAGACAAGCCTAGATACATTTTGAGGTCTCTTTTGGTTCATAAGCAACACAGCATTTCAGTTCCTGTAAGCCAGTAGTGTTGTGGGAAGAGCTGAAGGCTTTAGTTAGTGTGATAGACATGGAAATTGAAGGAGAACACAGATGCAGATGGATTTGTAGAGGTTGAGTCAGCATGACTAGGTTGGCTGCTCATCTGCAATAAATGAAAGGGAGCAGGGAAAAGTCAACTATTGAGGTTTCAAGCCCACATGAATGAAGAAAATTGTGGTTCTGTGAATAGAAATAAATAAATGAAAGAAAGGAACTGGTTAGGACTTGGGGGATAGAAGAAAGAAATGGTGTTTGATGTGGTGAGTTTGAAAATCATGTAAATGGACAAGTCTTTTGTTCAGTTGATATTGATAGCTGGGAAGTCTGAAGCAGAGGTTAATTCTAGAGGGTAGAATTTTAGTTGAAATCTTGGCAGGAAATAAAGTACTAAGTGAATGAGTGCATAAAAGTGTTTGAGGAAAGAGGACGTGCCCTTGGCTGCAGAGTGGGGGGTAGCATGCCTTTATGAGGTGAGGAAAGGAAGAAGTCCCGATGAAGGAAAGAGAAAATGAACAAAAACAGTGATAGATGAATCAGAAGAGCTTATTGGTATGACAGACTATGAATAAGAGAGATTCAAAAAGGTGGAGGGACCAACATGGTCAAATACAAAGATGTAAGAACACAGTGAGAACTGAACAAAACTCTGGTGTTCTTCAAGATAACAGCTTCACAAATGCAAGAGAAGTAGGGAAGAAGCTAAATTTCAAGAGATTAGAGTGAGAAAGGTTGGTACAAAAGTATAGACAGCAAGTTCAGTATTCTGTCTTAATAAATCAGAAAACACACATGGGCCATAAAAACAGATTGGTTTTGGCTAAATCATGTAACCCCTCTGGACCTTATTGTTTTTCTTTAAATTCGTGGAGGAAAAATCCATAAGATAGCTTCCATTCCCTGAAAAAAAGCACATGGTTTCATTGCTATCTCTCTTGCCAGTGTTTATTTTCAAGTTGGAGAGTATAAGATAAGATACAGTGGTTAACCTTTAGATGGTTCTCTCACTCTTAGGAAGACAAGTTGACTAAGAAGTTCACTAAAGATTTTTTCACTTTGAGAGCTCTTATTTTTTAAGTTTAACTTTTAAATTAATATCTCATTTCATTGAGATAGTTTTTTTTTTTAATTTTAAAATTATTCTCTGGTACTGTTATTGAGGTAATTTGGCCAGTTGTGGCCTGTTGTCTCAGTGCCCAATGTGGTTAGAATACAGAATGTGTTATAGGTATGTAATACTACAGAACATGCCAAGTGTGAAAAGTGCTCTGTGACCCTCCACATGAGGAGGTGTTCCTCTTGAGCTAGGCATTTTTAGAACCTGCATGCTCCAACCACAGACTAACTTAGCAGAGTAAGAATTAATTTCAAAAACACATTATTATCCTAAGAAATCCTTCCCTTGATTAAATACCCTCTGCTTGGCAGCAAAGCAACTGTATCAATTGCAGCAAGGCTCCAAGTGACCCTTCCCACCCTGATCCCAGCTCCCCCATGTTGTTCCTGTTTCTTTGGAGGCCCTGGAACTGCACACGCACAGGAACTGGGTTCATGCGAAGTCATCACAATTCGCCTGAGAAGTGATTCCCCACTCAGGTATCAACCCATGACTATCAAAGAGTGTGGAAACATGCCTTGGGTGTATTGGGCCTAACTAAATCCTTCGGAACTCTAACTCCAAAAGCCTTAGGTAACTCAGAAGTCAGTTTAACTTAATACACAAATTTGCATTTTGTTTATAAAGTATTGCTCTTCGAAAGTTGGCTTAAGTAATTCTTTCTTGTGTGTCTTTGAACAAAGATTTATGACTTAAAAATCATTAAGAAATGTAATTCCAGAATGCCCAGAATTTGTTATTAATATTTATTAAATTTGGTTTTGAAGAACTTAACTTTAATTTTAATTTTTATATAAATCTTTCTTCAGACAAAACTTTTTTTAATTTTTATTTTTTATTATTAGCATATTCATTATTACAAATCCTGATTTTTGTTTATGCCCTTTACCTGACCTATCACTCCCCCCAACGCCCTCCCTCCTGCCTCCCATATCTAGTATCCTCAGGTTTGTTCTCTTCTTCTGAAAGTTCAACATATTGTTGTGGTCTTTTCCTTCCTTCTTCTTTCCTTTCTTTCTCTCTCCCTCCCTCCCAGTTATGATTGAGAACATGCAGTATTTCTCTTTCCTTGTCTGGCTTATTTCACTTAATTTTCTCCAGACTCATCCATGTTGCTGCAAATGGAAGAATTTCATTCTTTTTTATGCCTGAATAGTACTCCATTGTGTATATATGCCACATTTTCCTTATCCAGTTGTCCGTTGATGGACACTTAGGTTCGTTCCATATTTTGGCTATTGTAAATAGGGCTGCAGTGAACATGGGAGTGCAGGTATCCCTCTGACATGACGATTTTCATTCTTTTGGATATATACCCAGAAGAGGGATTGCTCGATCATACGGTAGTTTTATCTGTAGTTGTGTGAAGAACCTCCATACTGTTTTCTATAATAGCTGCACTAATTTACAGTCCCACCAACAGCGTAGGAAGGCTCCCCTTTCCTTGCATCCTCGCCTGCATTTGTTATTTTCAGTCTTTTTAATGGCCAGTATGACAGGTGAGATGGTATCTCGATGTGGTTTTGACTTGAATTTCTCTGATGACTAGTGATACTGAGCGTTTTTTCATGTACCTGTTGGCCATTTGTATTTTTACCTTTGAAAAATGTCTATTCATCTCCTTTCCCCGTTTTTTAATCAGATTACTTGGTTTTTTTACTGTTAAGTTCTTTGAGTTCTTTGTATATTCTGGATATTAATCCCTGTTGGCTGTATAGTTTGCAGATATTTTCTCCCATTCCTTAGGTTGTTTTTCTGCCCTGTTGATTGTTTCCTCTGCTATGTAGAAGCTTTTTTGTTTGATATAATCACATTTGTTCATTTTTTCTTTTGTTGCTTGTGCCTTGGGGGTCTTATTCATAAAGTCTTTACCCAGGCCTTTGTTACCAGGAGTGTTTCCCCTATGTTTTCCTTTGATAATTTTATAGTTTAGAGTCTTATATTTAAGTTTTTTATCCATTTTGAGTTGATTTTGGTATATGGTAAAGGTGCAAGTCTGGTTTCATTCTTCTGCATATGGATGTCCAGTTTCCCAGGACCATTTATTGAAGAGGCAGTCTTTTCCCCAATGTATGTTCTTGTGGCTTTTGTCAAAGATCAGTTGGCTGTAAGTATGTGGGCTGATTCCCAGGTCTTCTACAGTGTTCCATTTATCTGTATGTCTGTTTTTATGCCAGTATCATGCTGTTTTGGCTACAATAGCTTTGTAATATAATTTGAAGTCGAGTAGTGTTATGCCTCCAGCATTATTAGTGTTTGCTCAGGACAAGACATTTTTTATTGTTCATTTCCTTAAGAAAATTTTATCAAGTACTAGAGACAAATTATAATTTATTAAACAGAAACTAGATTTTTTAATCACTTGGCTTTCAAAATATTTAGATCAGAAAGCAAATTAGAAGAGTTTACTAAAGAAACTAATGGCTCTCATCTCGTAATCTCCTTTTCACTTTAACCTTTTAAATAAAGAGATCCTTGAAGTTTTCACAGTAATTTACAAAGGTTGAATTTTTTTATAAGATGAATTAATGCTATTGAGAAATATTAATCATATCATGCAGCCATAATTTAAAAGTAAATGATGGCACATTTTATAGAGGGGTGTGCTGTGTTATTTCATAGTGCATTCATAGTCAAAGGTCATGGTGTATATGTTGCATTACCATAATTTTCTACTTAATTTGTTCTTTATACATGTTTATACATGTTTCAATTGCATTTCATTGACTCATAGTTTTCTTGTAAGTTTGTGCTTTCTTTCCATGTTCACAGAATCTCTTTAATTCAATTTCTCTGTTTCCCCTATACAGTCTGGCAGCCAGATATGCAACTCAGTCTAATCACAGTGGAATTGCAACCAGTCAAAAAAAGCCTACTAGGTCAGTTAATATCTCTAATTTATTGCTTGTTAGTGATATTCAAGTAAATTCCCAGTGATATTTTGTCCTATCACTCTAAATATTTTTTAAAATGACACATTTCTGGATGAAAACCTTAAAGCCCTGAATTCTTCCAAGCGGATATTCATATGCAGTCTCAGGGATGAGCATGTTGGTGTTAGACAATTAAATGAGTTTTGGTTTCTTCTGTCTTAGTGTAATTATACACAGTGCTATACTGGGCTGAAGTCTAGGTTCTAGGCTTAGAACAAGTAAAAAAATAAGTGTACCTTCTTTTCAGGTCACAGAGCCTAGAAGTTATACAACAAGATTATAATGCTTTTTGAGATGGTTATTCACTAATTATTGCACACTCTAGAGCATAATTGAGAAATATTGGCAGATTTTGGTAGAGAAGTTAGCACCAGGTCAGTCTGGATTGTTCTTCCGTCTGTAATAGTTTAAATTTTTGCTTCTTTATGACATGTATTTTAAAGACAGTCTGTTATAAATAAATGACAATGTATTATATACTGTTTAGAATCCATGATATCATATAAATATGTGTTGAAAGAGTTTGATATTTAAAAAAATGTTAAGATGCTGAAGGTGTGATGGTAGCATGGAACAACTGAGAAAAGCCAGAGCAAAAGTATTTTTCCCCTCTGATTATTCTGTGATTCTGTGTGTCATCTCACTCACTGGAGAAATATCCAGTGGTGGTTTATTAGTCATTGCTCCATTAATGAATCATATTAAGCAATGCTTGGCCACAAGGAGTACTTCCAATGCTTTGGTGCCTTTCCCCTTGCTTTGGTTTTCTAAGTTATGTTCATTTCCATAGTATTTAAAACAATTCTGGAAAGACAAATTTTAAAAGGTATTTAATTAAAATTAGAATTAATTATATAGATTAGGATATGTAAGGAACAGTGACCTTCCAAGTACAATGTGCATTTTTTTTATTAATCCTCCTAAGACTTGGATATGTAAAATATATTTTAAGTATTTTGTTTTAATAGAACATCTCTTTCTAGCTCTCTCTCTCTCTCTCTCTTTTTTTCTTTTCATCTCATTTCCCTTTTTATTACTTTGAGGAATGATCTGGAGGCTCTGGCTGCCTGTCAAATTAGGGTAATGAGAAGAACAAATGTATTTTTTAATTTGCTTTAATTTGTTCTTCTGAGTACTGAAGATCACTTGGCTTCACGGGTCACGGTAAAGATTAAAATGCATTTTAATTGCTTTCTAGAAATCGGTCAAGTTTTATTGAAGCAGGGCAAGTTTTGTGACAAAATTTGTTTATACATGTGAGTTAGGAATAAACTTTCTATGTCTATGGCTATGTCTACAGGAATGGTTCTCAGATTTATTATGATAGGGACATTTGGCCAAATTTATTAGTTGAGTTCTTTTTGCAGGGTGCAATCACTGGTACTGTAAATTCCTAGTATCTGTGGTTATTGTGCTATGCTTAAAAACCCTAATAGATCCATTTCAGCAAACTTAAATGCTGGAATCATTTGGAAAAGATTCTAATCTTATGTATGACACAACCTCTATATAGCAAAATAGCTGAAGGGACTATTTATTAGCCATATGTATTTAAACTAAAAAACAGTTGACATTTTGAAATTATTAACTGTTCCAAGAAATCAACACTTTTGTTTTTAAGCTAGTATTTGTGTTTTCCTGATGTTCACTCCATTTTGTAATACCTGTTACTATTATACAAGAATTTATATTTTCTAAGGGTTTGATTTCTTAATAAACTATGAAAATGATATAGTAAGGTAGTATTATAAAGGTGAGTTAAAATTTGAATATTGTCATAACTGGATATGAAATTTGGATATATTGGGAACCAATATAACAGATATAAACAATCTTTTACTTAAAAATTTCATAAAAGAAAACTAATAAAATCCAGTGCTGTATTCATAGGTTCTGGATTTTTTTTTTTTTTTCAAATAGGAATTTTCATAGTAGTACACAGTGACATTCACATGGTGGCAGCAAATACTAGCAAAGATGTTGGCAACCTTCGATATCATGTTTTCTAAATAGATTTTAGAATATCAATATTAATTCTTAATTTCTAGTTTTTAATTTATGTGGTTTGATTTTATTATACATATACACTGTATATTAGTAGTATAAAATCAAAATCTAGTAATTACATATTTTAGGCACAGTTAATAAAATAATTGGTAATTGAGATTTAATGTGGAAACTGCTTAAACAGTAAAATACATGACTCAAACTGATATTTAATTATAGTCCAAATAAAGTAACAGTAGGTCATGACCTCCTGTAAAACTGCCTCTAGTTGTAGAATAGTCTGTATATATCTCCTCATGTCTTGTTCATACACAAAGAGTAGCTGAAGCTACTGTCACTGTAGATATATTTTAAACTGTCATTCTGCTAATGGCAATTTTCTTCTTCTGAGACCTGCATCCCTTCTTGTCACATCGCCTGTGTGATCAGCTGGCCACACTTGTGAGATAACCAGCTAGCCTAGGTGCTTATTTTGGCAAGAGGATGAAAGAGTATTTTTGTAAGGCAGACCAGTCAGATGTACTATAACTCGTGACTGGGTCCCAGCACCATGCATTAGTTAGAGTAGCTAACTAGTTTAGATATTCAATAAGCATTTGCTGTTTGCAATTTGTTCAGTAGCTTTATTTTTGTTGTTATTAATATACAAGCTGACTTATGGTATGGCTATCTAAGATAAAAACAAATGCCCCATACACTAAAAAGAACAATTTAACTACAACAACAAATAGCTGATTTATATTTTAAGAACATAATAAAGCTAAATGTTATGATTTCCCTCACTTTTCATGTGATTGTTACATTATTTTTAAGGCAAAGTTTTATTCATCAGGGGTGGGGTAAGTATTAAAATTTTAATTAAAAGTTATTTTATTTTAATTTATCTACATTATTACTATTCTTTGGGGGTTATGTTTATTGAAAAGCAAAACAAGATTTTTCTGAACTCTAACCTTATGTTTAGTGATTTATTTGTCACTTAAACCATCATTTCCTGCTAAATAGATTTTAGAACATCATATATTGTGATTTTCCCATGAACTTTTCCCTACTCAGAACCCCCTGCTCCTATCTTTCATAATGTACAATAATGATGTAATTTTTCTCATTCTATTTCAGGCTTCCAGGGCCCTCTAGGGTGCCAGCTGCAAGCAGCAGCAGCAAGGTCCAGGGAGCTTCTAATTTAAACAGGAGAAGTCAGAGCTTTAACAGCATTGACAAAAACAAGCCTCCAAATTATGCAAATGGAAATGAAAAAGGTAAGTGTCCCCATGTTACATCATTATGGCACAAGCTTAACATAAGTCTCTGAAGAACATGCTAAATCTAATATTTGAGCAGTGTGACTGCTTTGGGGATGGAAATGTTACCAGTGGAGTTACCTTATGTTTCCTGACTGCCCCCTTCTGATTTCTGGCTTTCTTTAGGACTTTTCTTATCTGAAGACCATTTTAAAGAAATAAACTCATTTGTATTAAAGTGGTTAATTATATACCCAAGTATAAAATCTCTTTCTCAGAAACAATTCCTCCCAGATGTATATAAATAGCATTTTCTTATGCCTTTTCATCTTTTATGAAAATTTATCCTGAAATCATATAGCTATATTGAATTTACTCGAATCCTTAGCTTCAGTTAATATAAGTGCCATAAACATTTTGGGCAGTTAAGTTTGCAGCATCAAAAGTTGAGGCATCATTATGATAGCTATTTATCTTTGACAGCAGCCAGGCACAGAAACATCATGACCTTAGTTTTCCCTAAAAGACAAATTATTTATGTTTGTTTTCCTGAAATAGTGCATAATATACGTATCAAGTCATAAAATCATTAGGAAGAAAGGACAATTAGTGGGAGTCTGTGTTAAAGGTAGATTATAAATGAACTGTGTGCTACACAGTTCTCTATGATGTGCAAAATGTGCATTTCAAGGGCTGCTGGCTTGATGCCTGTCACTGTAGAGCTGGAGTGACAGGGGAGAGGATGTGCAGTTTACACCTGAACCATGAGAAATTCAAAAAGTTGTACTGCTGTAAGCGGTGTGACTGTGTGAGGCACTGGAGCGTTCTGCTAGATTTTGAGTAAGTTTTTTTCACTTCAATAGAACTTTAAACTTCTCTTTATAGTATTGAACTTTATATAAAACAAAACATGAAATTAAAAAGTGGCATATATTTATGGTTAGTAGAATGCTTAGCAAATTTGGTTTGAGCCATTCAACCAAGTAGAAACTTTGTTTTGATTGGAGTAGATAAAATTGCAAATTGTTTCTGATAGGTGAATGATAAGTTGGGCATGAATTGACTGATGTGTTCCATACATTAGACAATTTTTTTGAAAATCTTCCCCTCCATCCAAAGCAAAGTTTGACAGACTGTAAATCCCTGTGAACAGCGCAGTGTGTCCTGATCCCTGAAAGATCCCCAGCTCTTCAGTTCAATGAAAAAAGAAAAAAGAAAAGAAGTGTGTATTTGGAAGTTAGGAGTTTCTCTTTAAAATAAAGATAAAATCTTTGATTTAAGATCCTAAGAAATATTACTGAAGACTTCTTCCTTTTCTGGGAATTAGGGAGATAACAGTTCCTCATCGAAAAAACATTTTCGCTTGTTTTGTGACTTTCCTAGAGTGTTGTACAGGTTCAAGCTAATACTTCCTGTATATACTATGAAGTTTCTAGGGGAAGCTAACAAGCTAAGAATAGAGATGTTTTGAGTAGACTGTCAAAGTGTCCGGTTAAGCTAAGTGATACCACAGTTGTATGATATTTTTAGCAAGATATTACTAATTTGGCAGAAAGAAATACTTTAGATAAACTAACACTTTGATATCAAAATGTACCTGAATTTTTCTGTAATGTGAAAATCTTTTCTTTAACTTTGTTTCTGGTGTCTAAAAGAAAAATCTAAAGATTTTTTCTTTAACTTTGTTTCTGGTGTCTAAAAAAAAAATCTAAAGATAGACAAAAACTCATATTTTTCCATGGCCACTCAACCTCTGTACCTATATTTAGAAGCTATTGCAAAATTAGAAAGTAGCAATATTTACAATAACCACAAGGTGGAGACAGATGTCATATAATGTATAGTCTTTGATCATATAAATTTCTTTTTTTAAAAAAAATTATTAGTTTATTTATCTTTTTATTTTACTTCTCAATATACATTGTAGTTGATTTTCATGCCCCTTTACCCGTTCCTCTCTATCCCCTTCCCTCCCCTCCTCCACATTATATCTGTTCACTTGACTTAAATAGTTCAAGGAATTTTTGAGGTTATTCTGTCTCCCCCCCCATCTTGATTTGTATGTGTGTTTTTTTATTTATTTATTTTTAGCTCCCACAAATAAGTGAGAACATGTGGTATTTTTCTGTGCCTGAGTTGTTTCGCTTAATGTAATTTTCTCTAAGTCCATCCATGTTGTTGCAAATGGTGGTAAGTCGATTTTCTTAGGTACATATATACAACAAAAGACAAGAGCTTTCATGACATATTAACCATTACTTTTAATTCCAACTAAAAAATTCTAAAACATTTAAAGTGTGTGACCTCCCATTCACAAATATTTATAATACATTAGATGTAGGAGTTAAATGTCTATGAACTGCCAGTAATAACTAAAGCTTAAATTGCATCATATGATATAATACAGTAATCCGGAATTTGTTTTACCTGCAATATGGCATTTGCTATTAAATATAGAATTACAACTTAATGTCAATACATCCATTATCAATGTTTCTAAATTAATTATTGTGTAATGCCATTTAAATTTCCAAAATATTATCTTAAATTATAAAAGTAGGCAAACAATGATAAATATTACATATAAGACAATTTATAATTTGTTCTGTACCCAAATCATACATCCATTTGATAAAGATGTTTGATTTAACCTTTCTTAAAAATTTTTATTTATTTACTTATTTATTTTAACTTCGCAATATACATTGTAGTTGATTTTTGTGTCCCTTTACCCATTCCTCTTTCCACCCTCCCTCTTTCCCCTCCCACACCCAACTACATCATATCTGCTCACTTGTTTTAACAAGTTCAAGAAATTGTGATTGTTGTGCCTTCTCACCCACCCCCACCATTTACTTGTTTGTATATTTATTTATTAGATCTCACAAATAAGTGAGAACATGTGGTATTTCTCTTTCTGTGCCTAACTTGTTTCACTTGATATAATTTTCTCTAAGTCCAACCATGTTGTTGCGAATGGTAGCATTTCCTTCTTTTTTATAGCAGAGTAGAATTCCATTGTGTAGCTACACCACAGTTTCCTTATCCACTCACCTGATGATGCACATTTGGGCTAGTTCCAACTCCTGGCTATTTTAAATAGAGCTGCAATAAACATTTGAGTATAGGTATGCCTTCGGCATGATGATTTCCATTCCTTTGGGTATATTCCCAGCAGTTGGATAGCTGGGTCATATGATAGATCTATCTGTAATTGTTTGAGGAACCCCCATAACATTTTCCATAAAGGCTGCACCATTTTGCAGTCCCACCAACAGTGTATTAGTATTCCTTTTCCTCTGCAACCTTGCCAGCATTTATCATTCTCAGTTTTTGGATATTAGCCATCCTAACTTGAGTGAGATGGTATCTCAAAGTGGTTTTGATTTGCATTTCCTGAATGCTGAGTGATATTGAGCTTTTTTTCAAGTGTCTGTTGCTCATTAGTATATCTTCCTTTGAGAAATGCCTACTCAGCTCCTTTGCCATTTTTTAGTTGGGTTATTTGGTTTTTTTGCTGTAAAGTTGTTTGAGTTCCTTGTATATTCTGGATATTAATCCTTTGTCAGATGTATATTTTGCAAATATTTTCTCCTACTCTGTTGGTTGTCTTTTAACTCTGATAATTGCTTCTTTTGCTGTGCAGAAGCTTTTTATTTTGATATAGTCCCATTTGTTTACTTTTCCTTTGGTTTCCTGTGCTTACGGGGTTATAGTCATGAAGTCTATACCCACTCCTACTTCCTAGATTGTTTCCCCAATGTTTTCTTTAAGGAGTTTTATTGTTTTGGGATGTATATTTAATTCTTTAATCCATTTTGAGTTGATTTTGGTTTATGGTGAGAGGTGTGAGTCTAATTTCATTCTCCTGCATATGAATATCCAGTTTTCCCAGTACTGGGAAAGGTCTCTTGCTGAAGAGGCAGTCTCTTCCCCAGTGTGTAGTCTTGGCACCTTTGTCAAAGATCAGAGGGCTGTAGGTGTATGGGTTGATTTCTGGGCTCTATTCTATTACATTGATGTGTGTCTGTTTTAATGACAGTACCATGCTGTTTGGTTATTATAACTTTGTAGTATAATTTAAAGTCAGGCAGTGTTATGCCTCCAGCTTTATTTATTTATTTATTTATTTTTGCTTACGATTGCATTTGCTATTCATGGTCTTTTGCTATTCCATATAAATATCTGGATAGGTTTTTCCATTTCTGAGAAAAATGTCATTGGAATTTTGATGGGGATTGCACTGAATCTGTAG